ATTATTTTTTAATTCTTTCAAGTTTTTCTTTTGTTTTGAAGGAAAAAAAAAAGTTAATTTTCTTCAGATATTTTTTGTCCAAAAGTGAGTTAAAAAAAAAAAAAATCTAACTTCTATTTTTCTCATTTGCTCTTTCTACTTACAATCATGATGCTGTTTTTGTTTTTCTTTCAAAATGTTCCATTGATAATAGGAAAAAGGGTTTTTTTTTGTTTTTTTATCTGTTTGATGAGTCAGTGTGATTATGCCAAGTTTTCTTCCTTTTAGTACACCAAAATGCCTGTTACCATTATTTTACGTTTTTAAAAACATCCTTGCAGCTTTATTTTTTCAAAATAAATCAACAGCAGAAGTTTTCCATGGTTGACTTAGCATCCACAACTAATTATTGTTCTTTCTTTTTAAATTTTTCTCTCTTAAACATTTTTCTTGCTGGTAAACTGATGCTTAAAATTGTAGAGTGTATATTTACTTTCGATTCTCATCCTAAAGTTGAAGTTTATATTTTTAAGTGATGTCTGGTATGGAACTCAGTTGACATACAAATAGTTGTGTAATCTTTAAATAAATTATGTTGCAGGAGGTTAAATTTTGAGAAAAGTTAAATGAACTGAAAAAAAAAAAAATTTATGAAGTGTCATATTTTTTATTTGTATAATGTTTGGATGTATCCAGTTAGTTTTAAGCAGTCGTGAACTGAGTAATTTTGTTTTGTTCTGGAATAAGGAATTAGTTGTAAAATATGATAAACTTCAACTTTGTGATGAGGGAACAGTTTTAATTCTGTTTGTAAATGACTCTAAAATACCAAAAACTCATTTTACTTGATAAAAAATAATTTTAATATTAACTGTGAGATATCAGCAGTGGTCTGTTATTTCAGCCTCTGTTTCATTATTTTCACTGCTGTTTCACTAACAGTGAGTTTGGATGGTGGAATTTTCTATAGTGAATGATTGATTTATTTCTCCTAAAGCCACTTTGCTTATAATGTTTAATAATTTCTTTTTCCTTTGTAAATGGAGCATAATTGCTGCACTTGGACACCAGAAATCCTGCAACTGTCCAATAGGATTATTATTGGTGTTTCAACAATTTGAATTTTTGATGGTGGAAAAAAAATTGTCTTCCCCTTCCTAGAAAATTAAAAAAAAAACAACCAAAAAACTCCTCCCTGCCAAAAAATCATTTTTAGTTTTGTTTTTTTCAAACTTTAATTATGCATTTGGTTGTATTTATGTTGCAAACATGTCATTATGCATTTGTCCATAATACTAATCCTGTCAGATTGATTACAATTTTTAAATGTTTTTCTTCCAAAATTTGAAATTTTGTTTGGATTAAAGATTTTTTTTTTTTTTTTTTTGTTAAATTTAATATTTTAATATCAAACATTTTGAATTGAATTTTTCTCAGAAAAAAGAACAGGTTGCCCGTGGGGAATTTTGTTAAATATATGTTCAAATAACTCTTGTCTGCTGCTCTTACTATTAACTATGTTGAAGTTTGAGGAGAGAGAGGAAATAAATGCAGCTTTATTTCCAGAGACTAACATTTGTTTTGCCTACATATTTATATTTAATCTCTATCTGCTATGTATATAACAATGGCTTTTACTTAAGAGTGGCCTATACAGCCTGTGCTGAGATTGCTACATATGATCTCTATATTGGTGTGCCTATTTCTCTTTTAGTGCCAAGATATTGGCTTGAAAAAGATGGATGCAGGCAACTTATTATTTACATATCCCACTGCCCCATTACAAAAAAGAAGTTATTTGTCCTCCTCCACATTGCAAGCCTGAAATTTAGGCCAAATCAACACCTGCCGATGGATATTTAAATATATTAAAAATGTGAGTTGATCTCGATTTCTTGACTACTTTTTTTTTTATTCCCCATTTTTTAAAATGTGTTTAATGTTCAGTCAACTTGACATAATTGGATTTGTGTTTTAATTAAATAATCTATCAACTAAGTGTAAAGTGTTTTTCATTTCACTAAAAAACAAAAATCTGAAAGCGTGTATGAACTTGAAAAGTATGTGTTATGAAAATTAAAAAAAAACAAAACAAAAACTTCATTTAATATATTCTATCTTTACATATATTTATATGCACAGAAAATTTAGTTTTATTTGTAATAGAGTGGCTGACAATAGGCTTTATTAAACAAACCATAACTCACTTTTGAGCAACTGCTGATCAACTTAAAACAAAAAAAAAATACACCTTATGAATTTGAGTTGGGTGGATATCATATCCCTTTAGATATATTCATTGCTTTCATGAAGGTTAGAGATTCATTTTGGTTTCATTGTATTTTGACCAGTGGCTTTAGTCATTGAAATATAAAACTAAAAGCAACTCAGATGAGGATGCCAGGAAAATTAATAAATTTGTAAAGTTGTCTTAAAGTAAACCCCACATTCTATGTTTAATATTTTGGACACACAGCAAATACATTTTTTGTAATATTTCGTTTAAAAAGATAACTGTGATGAAAAGTGATATATGCACAATAGCCTACAAATCTTAAAGAAAAAAAAAGTTTGTATGCTTCAGCATTCATAATGCTCAAGCCTCAAAGACTGAAGAAAACTTGTATGGCTCCCTACCATTCCTAATTTGTTTCATTGTTCTTTACAGCTTATGAAACAACTTGTAAAAAGACGGTCTGATAAGTGTAGCAAGAAAAACAAGCATTCTGTTATAGCTTCTGTTTGGCAGGCAAATATTATTCTATATATTTTGGTCTTTTGAATTCCTGTTAAAAGTATCTGCTTTAGAAAGAAGCAGATGGTATGTTAATTATGAAAAAATTACCTACAAATCTACCAGGTTTAGTTGTGAAAAATCAGTTCAGATTGGAGTTAATTCCTGCTGAATCTCTGCATTTCTTTATACTTTCACTTTTTAAAATCTACTAAAATGTTATTTTCTAAATTACCCAACCAACTTTGGCAAAGTGTTAATTTACTTTTCTATCTTCAGCTCTAAATGTCTATTTTTCATCAAGCACTGGGATCTCTTTTCCCAGTATACTCCTTTATATCAACAAAACTATAAACATATAGAAATTAACAACTGAAGACATTTCTTCAATTTTTTTTTCTTTTTAAGTTGTGCCACTTCAAAGCTGGTCAGTTTGCAAAGCTATAGCCATGTTAATATATCTGGTTGTCTTTTAGTAAAGCACATTTTAATAAAAAAAGGCTTGCTTGATTTATAGTGATATCATTTTTTTTTCTAAGAATGTAAATTTATTAAATTAACAAGCTATATATCTTAACTTTCATGCTAATCTGAGTATAAATAAGTTTGCCATGAGGCTTGTAGATAAAGATTATCCAATTTTAAATATGTTAAGAGGACTGGTTGGTTGAACATTATTGCAGGTATAACTGTATTGGTCACTGTCTCTTTAAATTATTTAGTTGTCAAATTGAGTTTGAATATTTGGTTGAAAAAGAATTTTTTCTTGAAATTTTAAATACTGTATGAATCAACAATTTTGATTGAAAGATAATTGAAATCTGTGTCTTATCTGCTGGTAACAAGAATGATCCAGCATTTATAAATGTCATTGTAATGTGCCTCGAAGAAAAAAAAAAAAAAAAATGAATCTATTTTAAGGTTTGTGAAAGTTTGTTCATGTGTAACATTGTGGTTTTTTCTATTGCCATTTACATGTATTGACAATGTTTTAGGCTCTGTCTTCAGCCTGATTTGAAATTGCACTTTTGTATAATCATGTGTATGTTGTATGAAAGGAAGTTTTGAAGTATATGCCTTTCCCAAAGGTTTTAGCACAAAAAAATCATGTCAATGGCTGATGTTGGATTTGAAAGTATAATATTGGTCTTTAAGCATTTCATCTAAACCACAATGCCCAATTCAAACTTATGTATTAAAATTCAAAAAGTTTATAGTTGTATAAATTTATTATTTAACTGAATTCTGTAGGGTGGGGGGAAACATGTGATTTCTAAAAATGTTAAGGTGGAGTATATACTTAGAAAATATTGGTGTGGAGTGTAAAAGCACAAATAATGAGTTTTTTTTTTTTTTATTTCAGACTATAAGTTTCTGATTTATTATTCTTTTACAGTTTAAGAAAAAAAAAAAATTTATTGTTGCAGCCATTTTCTTTTTTAGTAATTGAAAACTATCAAAATAAGAAAGGAGGAATATATATTGTTCTGTGTAGATAAAATTACCATACTTTTCTTAACTGGAAATATGGGTGTTTTTCCTTTTAATATCATTTCAGGTTAAAAATTTTTTTTTGGTAATCTTTGCAATCCATTGGAAGTTACGATATTTGAATGTTTCTTTGAATTGTTTTACTTAAAGAAAGATAGCAATTAATATTTCCCCATATTAAAGTTGAGGTTCCATAATTATTTGAGCAAATGTAGTGCAGCTCAATGAAAACAAAAAAACTGCATATTAAGTTTATTATGAAGGGCGCAGCAAAGTTGAGTAAGTAAATGAAGTATGGTGATAGAAAAGAGAGAGTTGTTTTTTTTTTTTATATAGAGTGCACATGGTGCTATCTGAATATATGATAATTGCTATTTTCAATTAAATACGGGTGAGTTAAGCTGATGAATATCCTTAGATATTTTCTGTTATTATGGCTACAGACAGCAGTGGAATGTTTTATCTCTTGTTTGAAAATATAAATATTTGAGAGGCTAGTCTTATTTTGAAACTCTGATAAACTTTTCTTGTGGAATAATCAACTAATTGTTATGAATCAGGATTCTCCTCACTCAATTTGACTTCATTTGTGATACTGTGAAAGAAATTTTAGAAACTTGCAAAGCTCACATATTGACTGTTATCCTGTAGAAAGAAATTAGGTGCTTCTTGAAGACAGAACTAAAAATAAGTAAAGTTCCTCAGACTAATTGTGGGAATAATGTGAGAACATCTTGATACTCAGTATCAATATCATACAAGGAAGAAAGCTCAAGTTATATAGGATTGCTTTTAATTATTTTGTACCTAATCTTATACATACATCATTAGCCTTCTCCTTTGAGTTCTCTAATTTGGCAATCCTTGAACCAAACTGGATGGCTCTCTTGGGTTGGATAGCTGTGGTTGGGAGGCCCAGATGGAGAGCACAGAGACGGAGTAACAATTTCTCACCTAGTCCACGTACTAGTGTTAGATTAGTCTGGAGATAAAAAAAAGAAAAATGAAATCAATAATGCTCACTGTTATATGGTAGGATAAACATGAAAATTGACTAAATTCCTCTGTCTTCCTGCAACTACTTACCTTAATATGTACAGGAAGTTTTGTTAGGAAGTTTGTAACTTTCTCATCCAGATAAGGGAACCTTGCCTCTCGGCCATGATCAGATATAATTCTGTTAAAGACATAATTTAACATAATCTGCTCAGAGTAATTTCAACTTTTAATAAATCGTATTTCTTTATGAACTATATAACATGCATACAGTTTTCATGTATGTCTAATTTTGGACAATTTTTTTTTTTTAATCAACTAAAAGAGGTACTAAAATATTTCCTTGATTACTTTCTATGAGAAACAGAAATGTTTACTTACCGATCATCACGTCCAAGGTTTCGAGAAGAGATTCGATTAATTTCCACTTGCATTTCTTCAATAAGACCCTCCCAGCCACCTTTACTGGAAAAATGTTAAAGATAAAATTAGTGTTGATCAACTGTCAGAGACTTGTTTTTGCTAAATAGCTCAACTTTTGTATTTATCTTCTACTAAATTTAATTTTTTTCTTCTCACTTCAATAGAATTATTAAAACAGTTGCCAAGAAAGGGTCTTCTAAATTTCTTATGCAAGAGAAAGGATAAATTCTGCTGTTCTCTAATAAAAACTATGAAATTTGAACTCTGCTATAATCAAATATGAAGTGTTACTTTAAATAAAAATCTAAGATGCTATAGCAGACTAGGGCCACAAAATCTTGTTAAGTGAAATGATAGGTTTTAAAATTACTATAAGTTTATGAGTCAGATATGATAGCTTTACAAGTGTTGAAATAACTTTGTTTTTCTCATTTCCACAACCAAACTATTCACCTAAAACAAACTCTGTGCCTTGAATACCCAGCAAATAATTCGTCTGCTCCCATTCCACAGAGAATTACCTGTAAAGACAAATTATTTATTTTGATCATCTTATAGAATAGATGAAAAGTAACTTTTTTTAAAATGTAAGGTTAATGTTTTTAGGGGTGTACATAACAGTAATGAGACAGTGACTGGATAAGAGATAATTTTTTTTTTATATCTACAAATTTTATTTAACATATACAACATTAGAAGTTTTTTAAAATTCCAAAATTTAAACAATTTTGATGTAAATACAGGACATTGTATATTGAATAACATTAATTGATGGTAATCAAAGTTGAAAAACTAACACTACAGGGTTACAGATTTACTACCAATGCTGATTGTCAAGGTAAGCAGAGATTCCCTACTTGGAAGATCAGCAATAACAATCTTTTTTTTTCAACATTTGGTCATGCTAAGTTTACCCATAATATTTGGTTGGTTTGGCATGTTCATTTTAGAAATGAGTAGCTGGGGGTTCAATTTGTCAAAATGATTCACTTTATAGGAATTTTAAATTCTAAAGTTACCTTTGCATGACTGCAGTAAGGATGTCCTTTATGGGGACCATTTCCCAGAATTCCTTGGCCTCGAGCAGCAAACCACACTGCACAACCAATACTGTCATCCAGAACTGTACACAAGGGATATAGCAGGTCAGCCACTTGATTCTTTCTATAAAATAGCATCAAAGATTTATTTGTTACTTCTAGATACAAACTATATATATGTATAGCATAGTTTGGTGGAACAAAAGGTCTATATTTTAGTAAGTTATCAGCATTTTAAAATATGTGTCTGAAGAGATTTTAATAACCAGCTAACTTTAGCAAAACAATTATACCATCTGCACAACTCCACAGATACCTTAAAGAGACTATGACTTTATCTCTGTATTCAGAAAGTTAAAAAAAAAAAATAATACAACTCCATGCTTACTATTATCAGAAGTCCTACAAATATGAAAAAAAATTATTTTGCATGTGAATTATGTAGAGATTATACATTACATTTCATAGGATGTACTTTATGCTTTGCATATTTTTTTTTTAAGTAAAAACAATGTATTTAATAATAAACATGGTATTGAAGATTACACTCATTCTCCTATTATGCTAGAAGGGATAGAACCAACAAAAAAAGATAAGCAGTTTCATAAATAATTTTCTTACACCAAGCTTTCTAATCTATAAAGTGTATTTAATCTGAAATTTATATGAAGCAATAACAGATTACCTAGACAAGCTTTTGCTTAGACAGTCATTCAGCTTTGCTATGAAATAATCAAATCAATCTCATCTTTTTGTAATATATTCATGATGTGATCAAAAATTTAAAAAAATACCTGGTTTGCTGTAACTCTTCCAAAATGATATTTACCTGGAATGAGAAAAAGAAACAAGAGGAAGCATAATGACAGAATAAGAACTGCTTCATTATTTTAGGTAGGCAACAAATACATTTTATAATAATAAAAAAGTGCTGTTGTCTTGGCAGAAAATGACAAATTTATGAATTTATTTAATATTAACTAATTAGACTGGTGCATTAAACATTGGATGGAACCAGAAAGTTTATATTTGCAACAATTTAATGCTATTTGAAAATAAAGTAACTTGATAAAAAAATAAATTGGTCCTATATACGTAATAACTGAGAAAGAATTTAACATTTTGAAAAAACCTTAGTGAAAAGATTGAGTGAATATCTACACAAAATTTACTTTCTAATATTTCAAGTTTTAATTGGTTACAAGTTTATACATTTCTGGTGGATAAGTTTGAGCTGAAGTTTATATACTGTACATAAAAATATAAATACAAAAGTAATACTATTTCCACATTAAAGGTTTAAGGGCTTTCAATCTTTAATTAAAAAAAAAAAATGAAATTTATGCAAACATATATTTTATATATATATATATATATATATATAATGTAATTTTTTTTCTTTTCTTCAAGACTGAATTTTTATTGCAGATAGATTAACCTGACTAAGCTGAATTTTAAATAAATTAGTTCAAAAAGCAATGAAAATGGACCTACTTCAATGAAATTCCACCTTCTGTTTGGATTCAGCTCTTGGAGAGCAGCATAACCAGTGAGACGGTCAGGAACAGAAAATGGAGAGGTCATGGTTTCCTTTGTTTGTTGATCAAAACTGAAAATTCATTTATGATAATTATTATTGAAATTCAAATCTAAACAATTTACTGACTGAATTATGAGGAAAATTTTAAATGCTAAGAAAATCAATGTTCATAAATGTAACCATAAAATTAACATGAAACGTGTCTCATTCTGGTCAGGCTTCTGTTGCATATAAACCAAAAACTTATTACAACAAGAAACGCAATTTAAAGAATTTTTAAACATGATATTGTCATTTATTCATATTTAAATATGACAAGCATATTAAAAAAATGGTTCTGCATAAATTGCATGTAATTAATAAAGAACTAATTTACATGTTTAATGCAAAAAGTTTAAAAATTTTTATAAGTGACTCAATTCATTGTCTGGTGGTCACAGCTACATAATAGGAACAAAATAACTACACAATTTTAAATAAGATTCTTATTCTGAGCCAATATTTCAATAAAAGCAACATTCTCAAATTTGGAAGAGAAGAAAAAACAAAAATGCACTATTGTGGCAAACTTAATGAAAATGCAATTGAATTTGTATAATTTGAGAGCACCGATAGAAAGAATTAAATATATTGAAATGCAAACCAACCTTTAACACTGACTATAAAAAAAAGGCAAACATACCTCAAAAATGTATCCGTGTTGGGTTTTAATATAATAAAATCTCTTAAATGTAAAGAGTTGCTTTCCTTGAATAAAAAAAAGATTAAATGCAAGTATTTACCCTTTTGATTGCCTTCCTTTCTTATTTGTTTTTCTGTTACTCTCTGTGTTAGCAGCAAAAGCCACATTCAGTAAATCAATTGGTTCTTCAGATGGAATGTAGCTGTAAAAGGAAACAGGAAGTGAAATCTGACAGAAGCTACAAACTGTGAAACTACAACAAAATTAAGTTTATAACATTAATTGAAGAAAGGTAATTATTTATTAACAAAGACACAAAAGGGACTTGCTTCATGGTTGACTTAGTTGTATATTTCCCCAGTGATCAGTGTTCAAACTCAGGTAAAAGCTTTTTCAATCTAGATTTTTAAGGCAGGCAAACAGGCTCTTTCCATTTAGAAGATTTGGTACAACTTCCTATGCTTATTCCACTCATTTAGTTTTGTGCCAGATAAAACTAAGCTTTAGAAATATTTAAAGGCAAAAGAATTTGTTAATACAATGTTTATTCATTCTTTTCAGGTTAATTTAATCATAATTTGTATTGCCCTTTTGAGGTAAAAAAAATGGATAGATACAAAGTCAAGAAATGTAAATTCACACAACAGTAAAAGGTTGGTGAATGTGGTACATGATGTTACAAAAGGTAAAAGAAATGATAATGTTTTACTCTGTTCCAAAAGGTTACTTTAACTGTAATACTGATCACAAAAAGACCATTATCAGTGACCAGAGGAATTATACTGTCAAAAAAAAAAAAAAAATAGTATATACCATTAATGACATGATGATCTGGCATTTTTAGACAGGAGTAGAATGGATTTAGTAATGATAAAATGACTCAAGAATTTAAAGTCATAAAAGAAATCTAATATGTCACATTTCATGCTAAATGTTAAGGAAATATACAACCCCATAGCATATTATTTTTACCTATCATTAAAAAATAGATCTACTCACCGGTCAGCTAATGCTGCAATGACAGTGGCATCTAAGCCTCCAGAAAATAAGATAGCTACACTTGCATTTCCATGAATGATGTCTTGTACAGAATCAGATGTTTCTGGTGTCAATGGTTGATGAACATTTAATTTTTCAATTGATAATCCCGTGTTCTGGTGATCTTCTGTCTTTTGTAAATGAGAAGCTGTATCTTTGGAAGAACCTTGAATCAAATTACTAACATTGGATTGAAAGCAATGGTATTGTTGATGACAGCGATTGAAATGGTTTTCACTTTGAAGATAATGTTTATTCTGATTGAACACACGTTTGCAGACAGATTCCCCTAAAACATCAATGAGTCTTTTGGCTTCTTGCCTGAGTGTAGAGTTTGACTCCCATAGTGAGTGGAGATAATTTGCATCTAGAGTTTCTGTCTGAGGGAGACTATAATTTGTAGGAGGAAGATCTTTGCAAATTGAAGGAAGAAATGTATGAGGTGTATATGATGATATGTGCAATGATATACAAGAACAATGAGAAAGAATATCAGCTGTTTTAGATTCAAGGTCTCCATCAATGTATTCTCCTGTAGCAGGCCAAACGGTGTTCAACCAGGGATAGAGGGTCAGTTGCTTAGACCCGTGATTGGTTGTTTCAGGGTCATATTTTAGGCAAAAGATTCCTAAGGACGGGAGTTCTACAAAGTCCTGAATGAAAAGAAATAAAATCTATAGAAATGGGAAATTTTTTTTTTTTTTTTTTAATTTTAATAATGAACAAATTAAGTTTATACTATACATAAAGATTACAAGAAACAGTTAATATTTGACAAATAAGAAAATGTTATTATGAAAGATATATTAGTATAAAAACTTGAGAAACTGGAACAAAAATATATTTCCCATCATTTTTGATGTGTTAGAGTGATATACTGACACATCAAAAATGCATTCTAAATTACAAGTTGAAGACTTACAATGCATCGGAAATGTAATCATTTCAGTCAGAGTTGGCACATCTTACCCCTGAAACCCTCTGACCAAGAGAGCCCCCCCACATTTTTTTTGGCCTCTGTTGTGGCCTCTGTGATTTTTTTCAGCACTGTTTTATGGCCATCTGTCATTGTTTTAATTATTTTTAAACTGACATTACATTGTCAGTTTAGAAGATAAATAATGAATATTTACTGAAATTTTCATTTAAATACCACCTTGATTTTTGGTAATTTAAAAAAAGCACTGCCCTTCCCCATCAATTTTCCTTCAAGAGTTTGTGGCCCACAGGTTGGGAAACTTTGAAATCAACATGTAGTAGCGATGTGGGCTCTGTATCAAATTTCTGGAGTGGGGAAGACCCTAGTGCAGGCCCTAATTTCTGTTGCATTGTAAATGAACATTCAGCTGTGATAAATTTCAAAAAAAGGACAAGATTTACAAACATCAATGAAAAAGAAAACTAAAAATATTTAATTTGTACAGTCAACACCAAAATCAGTAGAAAGTGTTAATTATATTTTGACCAAAACAACTCATTATATCTTTAGCTGTTTTTTTTTTTTTAATAAATCACTAGTTCTTCACTTTCAGTCCTGATTTATCCTGCAGATATGATAAACATATTCTAATGTAATTCATATTATTTACAACATGGCCCTAAATAAATAGAATTTTCAATTTTGTTGACACAGAATTATACGATAGAAAATGTATTTTGTAAAAAAAGTTCAATATTTTGAACCATTGATTTTCCTTTAATGGAAACATTATACAAATGGCATATAGAACTGTTCAAAATTTTATCTACAATGTTAACAGCATCTGAAAGTGGAATTCAATTCAAGTTGAATTTTTTGCACAAATATCCTTGGAAAAACATTCCTTTTTTTCTATGGCTTAAATAGCAGGGTAGACTGGTCTTTCTAGTCTTGGCTAACAGCCAGTCTAAGAAGAAAAGCTCTAAATTCCAAACTGTGGAAAGGGCAATGGGAAACAAATGCAATATATTTCCCAAGAATGCATGGTGATTCACAAGTAATAAAAAGAATTCATTGAAAAAATCTAAAATTCAAAGAAAATATTTCTGGTTAAATAAATTTTTCTTCTGCATGATTATATTTAACATCAGCATTTTGCAATACCTGTCAGCAGAAAAACTATATAGACTGTCAGTGTTTAAATGCTGGTAAGTATATTCTAAGAATATTCCCTTGTTAACAGATTTATTAATGGATCCTTGTGCCGCCGTATAACCTGGATCAGCAGAGCCTGTGTAAGGGAGTGTAGGAACGTTGAAAACATTTTTGTATTTTAATGGATGTAAAAATTAGCAATTATTTTACAGATGCCTATAAAAGATGCCTCCTGTCTAACAAGGAAAGTTTTTGAGAAAAATAATTTTAGTACATTTCATCATGTAATTATTGTGTGTCTTGAACCTTTGCCTTTTAACCTGCCATTTATAACAATAGTGCAGTAAATACAGTGTAATATTTAAATGTCTGTTTCTTCTTTTTTTTTTTTTTTAAACAAATTGTGTTAATTTTTTCAATGTCTCTGAATTCTTCAATATATGATTTTAGGAAATCATATGCATAAGTTGGAAAAATGTGTTGAGATGTTCCAAGTATTATATGTATGCTTCATGGCATAACTTTTTCTTCAATGAATCTTAGGTAAAAAAAAAAAAATTATATTTGTATAAGAATGTGTAAATATTAATCATATTTTTTTGTACTTATCTAGTATTTGTTTACTCCATGTTCACAATATGGGAGAAATCCTAAAAAGTCAAACTGGATCTTCAAACAAAGTGTGTCTTATAGTCTCAAAAACTGACCTGGATTCCTATGCGGACAGAGCTCAGTATAAAAACATCCTGTGTTGACTCTGGAAGATGCCACAGAAGACTCCGACGCCCAAAGACATCTCTGCCAAACCATAGTTTCTGGCTTGCAGCCTACGGTTAAAAGATAAACAATTAAATACATTTGAAATTTTAAAATTTATCAGAGAAAAGATAAATGATATCCATTAAAAAAGATGGAAATCCTGATTTTTACAATGTTACCATTTTTCAATACATATCCATATGAAAATAAATTGTTTAACCATATAAAAAGCTTTAACATAGTATTAATTATAAAAGGTGATATCATTCAACATATTTACATTGATTATCAAAAGATGTGAACACTTTAAAAATATATGCCACCTGCTAACTTATTGGTATTTGTAACTTGCACAAAATGTAGAATTTGTGAAATGCCTTCAAAGTTCTTTGATTGATTTTTTTTGTCACAGCTTATCAACCTGTTGTGTGTTATTAAAGATGAACCATATTCTTTGGATTGTAAGAAGTAAGAATTTTTTCCAGATACAAGTTCTGTTATTTAACCCATAGCTGGGAGAGGTAATGGATTCATACCTTTCCCGAGGGTATTTACATGTAAGTGAATGTAACAAACTTGACTGGAATTCGAACTCGGCTCTCTAATTTCTCATTCAGAGCTGCCATCCATTACATCACCTGCACATTCACTGCCTTCAAGGAAAAACATAAAATAAATTTAATTTTCCTATCTTCATGTATATCCCTTTTCATAAAACCAAACAAATGCTGGTTATAAAAAGGTGATAATAAAAAAAAAAAGACTGATTTCAATACTGTACATACTGGACACATTTTAAAACATGCCAAACTTCAATAAGGTACGAGATCTGATTAAAAAGTATCAGGACTGATATATTTTTTTTTTGATCAGACTTTGTATACTGCAGAAAGATACAATTCAGGAAAATTGCTCCAACCTTCTTTTGCTTTCAATGTAAATGATAAATAAATCAAGTGGTCTAGAAAGTTAAGGTTTTCTCTTAATCTTGAAATTCTGCTGGTTTAAAAAAAAATTAGCATGAAATTTCATTGTCACAATGTCTACATATCATTCCCTTTCATGCTGACTAAGTTTTCTTTTTAAAAAAACAATGACATAAAACAATAATGGTTTTGATTGGCTTTTGAGAAAGTCAAATAAAGAATTGAGTGTGTAAGGTATGTACCCCCCACCACATACCAAAAACAAATTACCTGCCAATAGATAAAAGCCCATGGTCCTTGCAGATAAGAGAATAAAGATACCAGTTGTTTATCATTGTTGCAAGAAGCCAAATGCTCCAGGAGGACTTGAGTATCATTATCATCTTCCTGTAACTGTAAAAATAAAATAATGAAATTATTACTGGTTGTTGTTTAAGAAGAGACAGAAAAAGTTGATGTCTTGAACTTTTGTTATTATTCCTTGCATTTAAAAAAACAAAAATTGTAAAGTGTCAGAGCTATGTTAGTACATTGATTTTTACTTGTTATTTATTACCTTGATTTTTGTCAATTCTCGTCAGATGACATAACATTGTATTTTTTGTTACTTAATGAATACAAGATATAAATATTTACTAAACCAAACTGGTTCAAACCTATAATAGAAAAAACACCCAAATAGTCTGAACTTACTAGTCATTGAAACAAGACTATTCTGCTAACCATTGCTCTACAAGTGATATTAGTGATTATACAGTTATTTAGCTGTTAGTCTCACAAATTATTGCTTGTAATTTCAATCTCCTTTTGGCAAACCATAAAAATGCAGTTTCTGTGAGGTAAATTCAGTACAATTTTACTTGAATTTGAGGAGACAATGATTATTTTTGTTTTAGATAATTTGCTTACACACACATCTACTATTTAAAAATTAAGTGCACATCCCATGTCAAGACTCATCTCTGGTCTCCTATGGACCCTAAACTGCAGAAAGATTCTCCAACAAGTTGCTTGGTTGGTTTGTTTAATGTCATTATCAACTCCTTATGGGTTATTTTATGCCAAAGTTTAATTTTCTTAGGAGCTTTGGTCATTTTCTTTTTTTACTATTAAAATCTATTGGTAGTATTTTTACTATGAAAATGTATTTTTATACTTTTATAGTGTTTTGAGGCCAGTTTGGGGGGCTCGCTATTTATCCATAGTTGGGGACCCTATAACAGGTATTACCACCCTGGGTCAGGGTGGACCTTGGAACAAGAGCAATTGAGAGATGCTTGCTGCCAGATGTAGTTTATCATCATCTCCAAGATGTTCT